AAACGAGATTCAATAGCAGCACAGACCTTGTGCTTACTATCAGTTGTGGTCCCACCTGCCATTGAAATACTCAAAGCAGTGTCTTCACGTTTTAGTCGCAAGCGCCGAGCGAGGTTCTCAGGCATGAGATTTAACTGTGAGCCGCCATCAAGCAACACACGAGCAGGATGGTATTGGCCGAATCTATCTCTAATATTTACCAATGCTGTGGCAATAATTACTTGATCGGCACTTAAGACATGACCTAAGTACGGGTGAGTTTGGCACAGCTACAGAGTATCTGTGCAACAACGAATGGTGTGCCTTTAAACATACCCGACACTTGGAAGCTTTGCAACTGGAAACTATATGACCCACATTCAAGCAATTGGGGCACATTTTTTGAGTCTTAGGAAACTCAAATCGCTGCATAACAGATATAGAACCGAAGGAAGGGCAAGAATAAATATTGTGGTCCGCAGAACTACAATATGTGCACTTCGAAACCGGTTTTGAAGGCTTTGAAGGACCCTTTGTGCCAGAAAACGAAGCTTTACTGTTTCTTGCTGGTTCGACTCGCTGTTTATTATACTCTGTACATAAAATGTACAAGAATATATTAGGTTTGCGGCAGCTGAAAATGTAACAGGCAGAAGGAGGCGTGGCAGACCCCACAAAGTATATATATTCTTCATCAGCATGACGAGACGAGTCGATCTAGCCCTGTCTGTCTGTCTGTCTGTCCGTCTGTCCGTATGAACACCTGGATCTCAGAGACTATAAGAGCTAGAGACACCAAACTTTGCACAATCGTATAATCGCCTATATCTAAGAGACTATAAGACCTACGGACACCAAATTTTAGTCCCAGGTGCCTTATGTGAATACGCAGAAAATGTGTATTTTGGAATTTCCCTCTCCGACCTCTCCCATGCAAATCGCAATTTTCTCTAACTCCCGTAATTCTTGGAATTTCGAACGCAAATGCCTTCAGTTAGTTATTATGTGTCCGTATGCCAAGTTTCACTATGATAGACCGATTTAACAAGAAGTTATAGCCATAAATATATTTGCTGCTGCAGCGCTGCCCAAGCGCTGCCCGCGGCTGTTGTTGATGCTGGTGCTTTGGTTGACTGCTAACATGTTTACTCAGATACGAATATACGAGCATATACGTACATACACTCACACAGACGCAATTGCTATGTAAATGTGAAATTATACACCATTTACGTGAGTTCGAATACCGAGAAAGGTAAAATCGATCAAAAACTTTTTTTGTAATTCTCTTACTTTTTTTAATTTCTATAATATGCTAAACATATGTACAGAGTATTTCAAAGTCGGCACACCCGACTAGCTTTTTTACTTGTTTTTAGCTCGAGTTGCCTCTTCAGCTGCTAAATATTGGTATTTAACTGCGTATCGCAATCATCACAAGGCGGCAACTCGTCATAATCGAGCTGTTTTTCAAACCGAGATTTGGTTACGTGATCGACTTTGGCCATAGCCATATGAATAATCGTTGCGTTCGAATTATCTTTTTCACTCCCCAACGAAGTTAAAGACGCATAAATGGCAGAAACAGTGTCAATGATGGACCGCAAACTAGACGCAGAAGGTTTGGTCTTACTTGGGATGTCAAACAATTGCGAGATAGTGTCGAAAAATATCAAACATTTGTTGTCGTATACAGACTTAGAGCTGGCAATGGCTTTCGAGCCTGACAAGCACGACACCAAATAATTGAACTTTTCGACGTTGGTCAACGAAGGATCGTCATGTACTAGGCTTTCAAATAAGCACATACAATTCTTAAATTCGGCATGCCCTCCACTGAATGTAGGCAGCCGCATTTTTGTTTTTTGTGATCGTTGACATAGAACAGTCATGAGATGTCTGACTTTCAACTTTTTTTTTCGTTGCCTTAACATACAACGCCTTAGTTGAAATGCACAAATCCTCAAGCCCTCTACTATCGTTATTTGGATTGAGATTATCCAAATCTGCCTGAAGCGTCATAGCTTTCAAGCTCTCAAAAGAGCCCACTGAAACTTCCCTGGATTCCGACCAGCGCGTAGTATCACCCATTAGGCAGGCCAAACAATAATACGACAAGTAGGGCAGGGGTATGGTAACCAGATAGCAGCTCGAAGTCCAAACGAGTAGTTGCAGTATGGGGATGGTATCCAGCACGACACCAGACTCCAAATTCAAACAATGTATAGTATATCACACGACCGCGCACAAAACCAAGCCACAAAGACCGCAAACGAAAGCGGGAAAAATCTTAGAAACCGATGTCCCTGCTCGGTCGCCAATGAAAAATCGCTAGCTTTAGCTAGAAATTAATTTCTATTAAATAAATGACACGCGGAATTCTTTGAATATGAATATGGCTTTAATGGCTTGGAATTATACAAAACGATGTTTAAAGTGCGAGTATTAACCAACGAGTAATTCGCTTGCTGCCGCCACAAGTCAGTGGACCAGCATAGGAACGGAGAGCGCCATAGAGAGTGTAATAGAAAGGCTTAAAAACTAAGTAGGGTGCTCCAACATATATATAGATCTACTTTTTTCCTTCCTTTGAGAGAGAGACTCTCGTTTCCGAGCGCGAACTCCTCCAAGTCAAACTTGGCCTTGTTGTATGTTTCAAAGGCCGTTTTGTCACTCTCTGGCCCTTATTAGCGCGCACACACACACATAAAACTAAAGCGAGCGACATCAAACTGTGACCCACTCTACATAGACAATCCAAGCATATCTCCGGTTGAGAAGCTATTTCTCCTCAACAACAAAACCAGGGGTGAGGTAGAGGAAATTGTCGCCAAATCCCGACTCACCAACGATGGTTTTGAATCCGCATTGGCAAATTTAAGGAGTCGGTTTGACAGCTTTGGAGCATTCATAGGTTGACACCACTAATTGGGTTTTTATACTGGTGTTATTATGCTCATCCAAGCTTCCGAATATGATGTTATCTTTATGGCAGCATTCCTTAAAGGACAAATCCATTATCCCAGTTTGGGCTGAGTTGAATTCATTACTTTTAGAGCGCCATCGGGCTCTGGAGTCTATGGAGGTTTTAAAACGTTCTCGCAACGCGCAGCATCAATCCAAACCTCCTCTTCAGAAAGTGTTTGAACTCAAAAGTGTAGACTTTCGAAGCAAAGATTAACGTTAACGCACCAACGTGCTCACCATGAGCTAAGGAAAATCATCCAATCCGATAATGCTCTCGGTTCCTCCAAATGAACGTCGATGAGAGGGCTGGTGCTATTAAACAGAAAAAACTGTGCCTTTACTGTTTTTCCAAAAGGCATCAGTTAAGGAAGCACACTAGTCCATAAATGTTTCACGTGCAATGAGCGCCACCATACACTTCTGCATCGTGGTGCTCCTCCATTGTTCCCAGCTACAAGCGCATCCACACACGCTGTAGCTGCTCCAAATTCAAACTTTAACACACAGTCCACCACTGTACATCCACATGATGCTCACTCATCAACATCATTCCCAACTACAAGTGCTTCCACGCACGCTACGGCTGCCACAACTCCGATTTCCGACTTTAGTAGGGAATCTACCATCTTGCACGATCCCCCACGACGCATTGAGAGATCTGCCAAACTTACCATTGGCTGACCCCTTCTTCTTCCGAAGTTCGGAAATAGACATACTTATCGGTGAAGATATGTTTCCAGCGAAACATTTGCGGCACGCTATTGGATATTGAACGGCCCAGTAGCGACTTCCAAAACTAAATCTATTGTATCGTTTTCCACGCAGATCGCATTGAGAAGTGACACCAATTCGCAGAAGCTCCCAGAGAAGCTGGGAGTAGTGTCTTCAAAAAGTACAACGCCATCAACTCCGACTGCGGCTGAATCCACAGAGTCACAAAACCCAGTCAGCATGCAAGGTGTAAAGCCAGGCTCATGTAAGGATAGGTACACGCCTATTAATTGGCGGAATCAGTTGCCCAAGTGGCTTCGAATCTCCAGCTGCGGACTCCCGAAAGAGCGATGAATGGAGCGGTCCGGGACGATTTTGCGGCGCTGGTCTTAGCTGATCCCAATTTCCACTGGCCAGCCACGGTCCCGCTAGTGCTCGGGGCGGACATATAGGCAACAGTGTACACCAAACATCACCAATAAATACCAATACAAAATCACCACGTTAACCAGCCGACTTCTTGCTTTGGGAATGAAACGGGCCCCTACCGTAGTCAGCAACTGCCCCACTACACATATCTTTATATTTTAAAATCGTTGAATTCAAAGTTGTAGATCTAGATCTAATTTGAAATCGATCGGGCGCAATTTTTAAATCTCTACATAAAATTTACAAGAGTATATCTATTAGGTTTGCGCGAGCTGAATAAAATTATATGATTGGATATCTTCAGAAGTCAATGCATCAGCAGATTGCTAGTGCAATACTAAGTTCATTGTACTGGTGAAACATTTTGAAACAGCTAGCAGACAAACTTACACTGCTCACACAGGGGCGGTGCTGCCCCATATTATGATTAAAGTGTTGCATTAATTAATATAATGTAAAATTACAGTAGTAGTTTTGAGCAATGCCATATAAGACAAGAATTGTTCAACAAATTTGCAGTGTTAAACTATACACGTGACTTTTATTACGATAAGTGCGGGGCCGGTATGAGTGAAGTCTCCACGTTGCCGATATAGTGATAATGCACTTAGCTAGACCACCCTCCTCCTAACACATTACCAATGGTAATTATTCTGTTCACGATTTAAAAGTTACCAAGCGGATTAGTCGGCCGATATCGCTACTTCGCATCCCACCTTGCTTTTAACTTTCGTAAAAACAATTATGGTAAGAAAAATATTTGTACAAACCATTTAAACATACATAGTACCTACATAATTTGATCGATGGCCTAACCTGACGCGGCGATTATGCAAAGCTGGTTTAAGGAATAGTCAATAGGGAAATTAATTCACAAACAAAGTTTTAATATTTATTTACGTCTTTACAAAATTCTGAAATTAATTTTAAGAAACTACTTACTAGTTATTATGTACATAAGCAAGAGTTTTCCAAATTTGATTGAATCCACGGAACAAATTTGCTTACGCGAGTGTAGACACCTGGATAACCTTCACGGCCACATCCAACACCCCAAGACACAATACCAACAATAAAAAACTTGACTCCATTAGATAATAAAAGCGGTCCTCCACTATCTCCTTGACATGAATCCATGCTTGGTTTCCCTGCACACAGCATAGTTGAAGTTATTCGAGTACTCTTATATTTTTGATTGCGGCATTCGGTAATTGACATAATTGGAACTTTTACTTGATTAACAATAGACGGCAATTCTCCTCCTTCTGATGTGCGACCCCAACCAACAACTGTTCCAATGCGTCCTAAAATGAAGAGTAAAATTTAATTAGATAATATATTAGATAATATTTCAGAGCTAGATCAAATTATAAGTATATAGAAATTATAGTAAATTTTTGATATTGCCTAACGTTGGCATGAGATAATTAAGTTTCAATAAATTAACAATTGATAAAGTCTTGTGATAAAAGTAATTGTTTGATTGCATATCGTATACTCTTCACAGAAGAGACAACTGGGACGCATTTCTGATATGACTTGTTTGGCTACTAAAACTAGTACAATGTGCCCGCAAGCCGATCAGCCTGTTTGCTAAAGTCCTTCTTCCCTGATTTGGGATCAATTTTTGACCTTCCATTTAGGTCGGGAATGTACCTTCCAAAGTAGCTTGGCATAGAACTAATGCTAATGCTTATAGCCCTTTTTAGAATATTATCTGGCCTTGATGTTTTAGTATCTTCCAGATCTCGTCCAACGGCATTTACTACGCTATACAGATTCCATGGAAATTTGGAATTCGTATCAGTTATCCAATTCTTTTATTAGTTGGACACTCGTTCTTGCTTTCGAAAATGGCCTTTTATAGAATTTTCCAAAGAACACTATGTACTTGGCTTGTAAGTGGTCAAGGTCCCGTTTGCCTTGGGTACTTCTGCACTTAACGTGTCTTATAGTTTCTTTTCGGTCATCCTATTTGCTGTTCATTTCAGCGGGTCTGGCGAAGTATCGCGTTATGGTCGCTGGCCGTATATATGAAAAACGCCATGTCTATTCAAAAGATTGCACATCCAATGTAATCATTTGATTCAGAGCCGGTGTTTCGCGCATTAGGTCATTGGCTGCAAAGCAGTGTATTATTATCAACTACAGGATCTCAAAAATCGTCAGCATTTTGGGTAAATAATGCAGTCTGTTCCATTGTTGCAACATTCATGGCAGCACCCAATATGTGAAGATTGGATGCCTTCTGCAATGTTGTTTTTTGTCAGTTTTTCCAGCGAAACAACTTGCTTTGCCTTACAATGGCAATTCCGATAAATATCTTGATATTGGGATATTGCGTTGCATTTTCATCTCTTGTTGGTTGTTTCCGTCGTTTCGCAACTGGCCCGCAGGTGCCGAATGTTGTAATAGAGCAATTTGTTAGGGGCATCGCCTTTATTAGTTAATAATTGCGTCCCCATACTGTTGAAATAAGGCCCTATCAGTTTATAGATCGTGAGGGAAGAATTCCTCCCGTTTGATTCTGTTGCCTGATCTACGACTATTTAGGCTAGCGGCTGTTATAGCTGAACGTTTCTGTTTCTTTGAAACAGAAAAATAAATGGGCCGGAATGAAATTAATTTCAAGCTGCATTTTTTAATCTGATCAGTATTATGCCTTTGTGTAAGGCATTCGAGCTTCATGTAGTATCTTATCGCCTCCAATTATCTAAAAAAAAACACAATTATTCGTAGCAAGAACGCGTCTACACTCGATGGCATCTCAAACTGTGTGTGTATGTGTATTTTCTGATATATGATTAGATTATATGTGTAAAATTAAAATATTTAAATACCTGCAGGGTCGTAGTTGTATCGAGGAAGACAAACTGGCTTAATTATTTTTGAAAATACTATTGGTTTTCTTAATCTTAACAATGCAATATCGTTGTTATATGTATCAGGATCGAAGCTCTTGTGTTTTGTTATAGAAGTAACTGCCCGTTGTATAGCTTGGGATTCTGAAGTGATTTGTTGATCATGATCTCCAAATATTATTCGTATTTTTGATCTTCGTAATTTTTTAACACAATGAGCGGCAGTAATTACATAATCCTTAGTTAGCAGTGATCCTCCACAGTGAAACTTTCCATCATATACAATCCGTGCCATCCAAGGATACTGATTCACTCCCGTTGGTTTTCCACCAACTATTCGTATTTCTTCGTTTGAAAACCCACAATCTAAAAATACAAGGAAAATGTAAATATTGTTGCCCTTTACTTTCTGTACAATTTCTATACGATATAGGTTTGTTGAAACTTACAAATCTTAATGCTTAAATATTTTAATTAAATTATTGCTGGATTGGATCAACTGATTTGCACCGAAATCAAATGGTAAATGTGGCTATCGATGGTTATAAATTTCAAAACCTATATTTATTCATAAAAATTACCGAAATTAAAAAAAAAAAACAAGTAAAAAAGCTAAAGTCGGGTGTCCCGACTTTGAAATACTCTGTACATATGTTTACAATAATTATAGAAAATAAAAAAAATTGGATCGATTTTACCTCTCTCGGTATTCTAACTCACGTAAAGGGTGTTTAATTGCACATTTACATAGCAATTGCGTCTGTGTGAGTGTATGTATGCCTATTCGCATCTATTCGTGTCTGTGTAAACATGTGTGCAGTCAACCAAAGCACCAGCATCAAAAGCCGCGGGCAGCGCTGCAGCAGCAAATATATTTATGGCTATAACTTCTCGTTAAATCGGTCTATCATAGTGAAACTTGGCATACGGACACATAATAACTAACTGGGGGCATTTGCAATTTTAGTTCGAAATTCTAAGAATTACGGGAGTTAGAGAAAATTGCATTTACGGGAGAGAGGGGGGAGGGAGGGAAATTCCAAAATATACATTTTCTGCGTATTCACACAAGGCATCTTGGACTAAAATTTGGTGTTCCTAGGTTTTATAGTCTCCGAGATATAGGCGATTATACGAATGGAAAATCGGGAAAGCCCCCATAGGGGGGAAGTGGGGGGAAATCAAACAAATAAAACAAACTTGCACAGACACACATAACGCATCTTTGTGCAAAATTTGGTGTCTCTATCTCTTATAGTCTCTGAGATCCAGGTGTTCATACGGACGGACAGACAGACAGACAGACAGGGATAGATCGACTCGTCTCGTCATGCTGATCAAGAATATATATACTTTGTGGGGTCTGCCACGCCTCCTTCTGCCTGTTACATTTTTCAGCTCCCGCAAACCTAATATACTTCTGTACATTTCATGTACAGAGTATAAAAAAACAAGAGAGAACGGTACAGTCGAGCAAGCCCGACAGTGAAATACCCTGTACCCAGATAAAATTCCGACACTAAGTTATATACGCCCATAGTAGAAGCAAAAAGAAGAAGGAGAGGAGCCAACCTGATGCTGTTGTTTGTGGACGTAGTACTAGACTAGGGACTAGGAGCGTCCACACGCCAAGTTTTGACCGATTTGTATATACTAAATTATGTTTGCAAAGTTTGGTTTATGCAGCTTTTGAAATGTGGACACTATTTACGAAATTCTGTAGCGTGGTTTGCGAAAACCTAATATACCATGTATTCATTGGAGTCCAAAAGAGTATCATCCGTCTACGCATTTTACACAAAACGGGAGCTTTAACCAGTCCGTACACTATACATACATTTACAACAAAACTTAAATAAACAAAACAACTTAGCCAATAATTAAACCTTGTACAAAAACGATTGAACAGCAGTTACAAGTAGAGGGAGAGCTTAAACTATGCTCAATATCGTGAGCAAACTTTAACGACTTGTCTCTGCTTTGTACAAGCTGCCCGACAGTCCAGAGTTAACAAATGGAGAAGTTTAAGTCGGGTGCCCCGACTGTATGATCAGGAGCGTTTTCCTGTTCAATATAATAATATTCTAACGAAACCGCATATATAAATTCAGCACGTTGTATGCACATGTACAACCGTTTATTCCAAGGTTTCGTAACATCAGATATGCAACTGTGCGTGTAAGTGTACATACAAATTAATTATTAGGGCTGACAAAGATATGCAATTTAAAAACAAGTAGAGAAGCTAAAGTCAGGTGTCCCAACTAATAGAACAAACTTGCACAGCGTACACACATAAGGCGTCTTTGTGCAAAATTTTGTGTCTCTAGCTCTTATAGTCTCTGACAGACAGACAGACAGACAGGGCTAGATCGACTCGTCTCGTCATGCTGATCAAGAATATATATACTTTGTGGGGTCTGTCGCGCCTCCTTCTGCATGTTACATTTTTCAGCTCGCGCAAACCTAATATACTCTTGTTCATTTCATGTACAGAGTACAACTACTAAATACGAAGAAATCTTAGCGTCGAACACAGTCATCTTTAGTTCGGAGTAGTATTGGAAATTTTTGAGCTTCAGGCACATTAAATTCAATTTCAAACGGCCGAACCTATTACAGATGATACCCATCAGTAAGAAAGGATTCAGAAATTGAATGCAGTTTGATATTTGTCTTTTCTTCTGATGAGAGTGAATTGTTGCTGTTGTTGGTTCCACACAATGCAGTGTAAGGAACGTTGCAGCTCATGAGGCGTGAGTTATGTCGTGTGATACTTAGCTATATTTCTGGTTTCCTTGTTACAATAAATTAGCATCGGCGATGAGAGCTTATATATCGTGGTCCGTCGATCAAGTGATTCTTGTTTGGCTACCTGCGCATCCCAAAACGCTACTACTCCAGCATCCTGCTTAATTCTCGCATCCTTCGGCCACATGCTTGAGCCTTTTGTCAAATATGCTGACCACAAAAACCAGATTAAATCTAGCAAATTCAATGATGTGCTTCCTCTAGATACCAAGTCAGCAGGATTAAGTATTGTTGGAATATGTCAATTCTGTGTATGTTCCTATAATTCAGCAACCCGATTTCTAAAATGTTGCCGTATCCAATGCAACACTACCTATGAATCGCTCTATAGATTTGTTGTGTACTACAGTTTAAAAGTATTTTAGGTTTGCTGCGTGTTGGCTCCACTCTACACTTTGATGTGATTAGCCGTGCCTTGCCATCAGTAGATACCGTGCGCGCGTATATACAACACCATCAATACAGATGTAACTCATGTGCATTCGGTTGCATGCAAAAGTGGAGTATTGCTATTTGTTTAAGTGTGGTGAGAGATGCTTAGAACGCTGTCTAAGCTTGACAAAGGTCTTGTGGAACAGTCTGATCCCACTGCATCTTGACTATACATAATTTCTGTAGAATGATCTTGGCAATAATAATGATAGGCGTAACCAGTCCTAATCAAACAACGATGATGACACAGATAAACTAACCCCTTTGATCACAACGTTGAAGAAAGGCTTTGGCCGGAAGCCTGACAACACAATTCCGAGTCGTTGGTCTTATGTCAATTCCAACTCGAGAGCCACTTTGCGGGCTCAAACTTCTCCTTGCCCAGAATCTCCGTAGCTTGCGCTTTCGCAATCGTTCAATTGTTTCATTTGATTGCATCTAATCCAAGCTTGTAACCATGCGCGTGAAGATCGGCCAAATATGTGTAGAGCTCCTACGTGCGAAGTGGTTCATCTGGCTAATTTATCCAAAGTATATTTTTATACTTTGTACATGAAATGTACAAGAGTATATTAGGTTTGCGGGAGGTGAAAAATGTAACAGGCAGAAGGAGGCGTGGCAGACCCCACAAAGTATATATATTGTTGATCAGCAAGACAAGACGAGCCCTGTCTGTCAGTCTGTCCGTATGAACACTTGAATCTCAGAGACTATAAGAGCTAGAAACACCACATTTTGCATTATGTGTGTACGCTGTGCAAGTTTGTTTTATTTTTTGATTTTCCCCCCGCTTCCCCCCTTATGGGGGGGATTTTCCATTCGGATAATGGCCTATATCTCGGCCACTATAAGAGCTAGGGACACCAAATCCAAATTCGAGATGCCTTATGTGAATATGCAGAAAGTGTGTTTTATGGAATTCCCCTCCCTCGCCCCTCTCCACCGCAATTAGTGATTTTCCATAATACCCCCAGTTAGTGATTATGAGTCTACAAGTATATGCTAAGTTTCATCATGATAGGCCCATTAAAAAGGAAGTTATAGCCATATATGTATGTACAAGCAGGTCTTGCCCGTCTTCGCTGGGCTAAGTAAAATGTGCTTAATTATAATAAGTTTATTTACTATATGATCTTCTTTCGACGCTCTCTAAAGTTTTTTAAAGAGTTCATTTTCCAAATAGCAAATATAGTACAATAAGTACAATGTATGGTTATACGTATATACATACATATGTACATATCTTCGTTACGACCCGGGCGGACTGCCAGTCCTGACTTAACTGTGTGCTTTCACAGCACGTTGTACGCACGGTCGAGTTATCCCCGAAAGGTCCGACGCGGGACATTTAATTTTGATTTATATGATGATTGTTGTGGATGTAAAATGTGTGTTTCTGCTTTTGTAAATCGCATGAATACACTCAGAAAATAGGCTTTACGGTAAATGACTCTTAGATTTGTTCAGAATACATTTGTAGCGTTGTTAGCTAATAGTAAAACGGTAAGTCGCTGTAAATATGCGATCAGCTGAGATGCTAGAGATGGGCATGTGTTGTATGCTCTATGTGCTAGAGCATCAAAACTATCGATAGTTGAATCCGTCGATACAATCAATAATTTCATCGAAGTTTGAATGCAATTAACAGAAAATTTAAATAATAACATCTTATAATTTATTGAGATCAATTAGAACAAACCATATACAAACGTACATACATATGTACATCTGCCCGCACGCGAAGCAGAATATGCGTAGGTCCGCTTTCGGTTTCTGCTTTACTATCGCTTACGCAGTCGTTGCCTAGCGACGGTAACTGTAAACTTTTGGCATTTTACCTTTGAAATTAACAGGCGTAAATGATCAAAACGAAAGAAGAAGCGCGAGTCAATAACTTTCAGTTGATGTTTTTTTTCGTTTTAAAAATTTGACCTAAAACCATAGAACATTATTTATTACAATCAAACAACAGTGCTCGATTGTCCAATGTATACATACATACATAAATACATACGAATGTACATACATGCGTAGAGAACCGCACACTTAGACACGAACTGTTGCTTGTTCTGTGTGTGAGTGTGTGTATGTGATGTCCCCAACTATTTGATATTTGCGTTCTT